AGCTCAAAATTCTGGGGAGGTTAATTTGCTTGTACTCGAAACCCTGAAATTCCTCAAAGCACGTGATTTCTTTAAGAAATATTCCCTTCTCTAATGCACTGGCCCTATAAAAATACAAATGTCTCTCCGACAGAATCACATGTTCCGTTCCCCTCATTAACGGGGGTGCAGCTGGTCATCTCTGGGAACCTTGAGCCATTGTAGCGTAAAGGGAGGGCGGGGGCCCAGAACTGTGGCCTACAAAGGAATAAAGTTGAAGGAGAAAGACCCCAGCTAAAGAGGAGGAGGAGGAAATAGAATTACCAACTTCCTCCGGTGCCTGGGGCAGGCCCTGTGGGAGACGATTTGTGCTCCAGTTATATTTCCCTTGGGTGCTATCTTTAATTACTATCACAGCTCATTGATTTTCAATTCTTTCTATTAATACATTTATTGGCCATTCTGACATTATTAAATTCAGACCAACTCTGCATCTTTAGTAGAGGATATCTTGTCCCAAAAAAACATGAATTCTGGGAACGGAAAAAAAAAAAAAGACTTTGCATATTACCAAGATCACGGCTTCTGGCTGTACTTTGAAGCCCTGGTACTAATACACCAAGATTTCACTACAGATCAAAAGATCTCCGCTGTGGGTCATCAGAGAATATGAAATGATAGGCAAATTCATACCTCTAAGATGATTCTACTAATTTGCTATCAATGCCAGCCCCTGTTCCACAGTGGGAGGGGACATAATGAGGCCCTGCTAAAGGGCAACACGAGTGGCATTTTTAATAAACGCCTCCTCTTCACTTCTGACAACGTCATTAAGGTAACCATCTCTAACTAAGCCTCCACACACAGACGCACACTAAAGATTTAATGTAAAATTAAACCAGGAAAGAAGTGGGCCTTGGTGCTGGCTTTTTGTCCCCCAGCGCTGCTGAATCGTAATGGGATTGCCTACCTTGAACAAGCATTCCATTGCAAGACTCCAGGTTCAGCTACGCTACTTGCATCTGTCTTTAGGATGTGTTAAGAACTGAGGTCTCTTTCAAAACAGCACGGGTCTCAAAACCCTTTCCCTTGTGCCATGGTGGCAAACAGGCTCTCGCATACAATAAACAGTGTCTGAAAGAATCACTGTTTATCGAGCTCTGCCTGTTCATGAGCTCCTGGGCTGAGATGATGAAGAAGAATGAGGACCATAAAGCAAGAGGTCTCCTCCATTTCGGCTGCTGCGCAGTGCTCATCAGGTCTTTGTGATACAGAAATGCCCTCAGTCCTGGGCTATGAGTGTCCTGCAGAAGGTTGTGTTCCTGCAAGCTGTCTCAAAGGAAATCAGCAAACCTCCACTGTCCCTTCCTCCCCTGGTCTAGAATATGCATGCTCATCAGGACCTCTGCTCTAAGCAAGACCGGGGTGCGGGCTTGCCATCCTAGCTACTCTGAAGGCTGAAAGGTCAAGATCTACCTGAGTTAAAGAGGAGTTCAAGTCCATGAGGGTGAAGGGCAGGAGGAGGCCTACAATTTGAGATTTCCCTTATATGTATTTGTTTAATTACAGAGTCACTTAGATGTTGAAATCTTTACTGAAAGCAAAACCGAATGTCAGGAAAACTGAGCAACTATACGGGATAGCAATAGGGAGAATTGTCTCTCAGCCACCTACTGCAGGCAGACAGGTTACACCACCCCCCAGCTAAGGACCACGGGGCTGTGGAAGACTCGGCATGCTGGACAGACCTGGTTCTGGATGCAGTAGGCACCTGATCTCACACAGTGCTCACTTTAACTTCTTTGCGTTTTTTTGCTTCCACGCACAAGTAGCTTTGGAGTATGACAGTTAAATCTACTGTCAGAAATGCTCTCCATCACCCCTTGACCTTCTCAGATCACAAGATTTCAGAGGAAGCCTGGGAAGTGGGATCGCCCCCAAGAACACCCCCTTTGCACTGATGAGGACAGAGAAGTCCAGAGATGAGAAGGAGCCACTTAATGTCACTCAAGCTGGTAAACTGCGGGGCCAGGAATAAGGTCATATTTTATGTCTTTGAGGCAGCCCCTTTCTCTGCATTCAGCCTCCTCTCTAGTATGATAGTTCTAGAACTCTCTTCCTGCTGTCCTCCTTTGCTTAATAACACGTCAGAACATCCAAAGGCTGGCAGCATTTGGGAAGCTCCTATAACAGCAGGGTATGTGCACCAGAGGTCACGGACAACGTTTCTCCCTCGTTCCTTGCTGTGCCCCTGAAGTATATCATAAGTGTGCGTTCCCTGGCTGCAGTCTGCTCAGCAGCATGTCCTGTCTTAGGACAAGCTTGAAGGAAACTGAAGTCACAGGACAATGCACTAATCTTCAACACCACTGAAAGTAGGAGCCTTGGAACTCTGAACAGACAGAGCTGGTGCCTATATATGGCTATTCCTATTCAGTTCACATGGCTATAAGACAAAGACCTCTGCCCCTCTGTGAGAATATGAGCGTGCAATATTTGTGTGCATGCTCACAGTTTCCATGGGAGGTAGACAAATCAAGCCAATGATCAGCTGATTAGATTTGATCTGAATATCTTAAAGGTGATGTCTTGACACATGCCTGTTACAGATTTGATGAAGGTATCAACCCTAGGCTTCTTTATCCATTGTTAGCACATAGACAGGTTTTCTCAGCATTTGTTCTCTGTACCTAATGCATGTTCTTCAAGACCCCATAACTGCATGTACGAGCATTCACTTAAATTTCTCTAACATATTTATATTTTATGACAAATTAAAATTAAATCAACTTTTATGTGAAAAAAGGGTTTAAAAGATCTTCAAAATTTTAACTCTCTCTAAAAATAAGTCTGAGAGGCAGAAATCACATGGTATATGTACAATGCATCCCATGACTTCTTGTGAAAATCACTAAAATCATGTCACTAAACACTACAGGATTCTACCAGTTAAAGAGCCTAGAAATACATACAAAGCTGCAGAAAAAATAAAGTTTCTATTTCCTTCCACCATGGACAAGCTAAATTGGGGCTAGAGTATCAACATCAGTGCCACTCACAAAAATGAAAGTTGATTTTAATGAACATGAGTTAATTAATAATTAGGAACCCACAATTATTTCCTGTCCACATCTAAGGACAAACTTTCTATAAATCATGTGATGTACAATTCCTATTCACTATAAAACTCTGTGGACATTGGCTTTTGTTCCCTGAACACCCCGAGTCTTTCATGCAAACCTTACTTTGAAAAAGAAAAATGACCAAAAAGTAGAAAGAGTTCCTTGGATATTGTTGCAGATTATCAGGCTGGTGACAATGACCTCTGGTTTTGACCCCTGGTCCACATCATAGCTTATGAGTTTCTGTAGTTTTTCCCTTGCTCTAACATGTATGGTTTCAATAGATTTATTGTTGTTCGTGTTAAAGAAAGTACAATGAAATAAAGAGAATGCTGAAAAAGACAGAATGCCTTTTTCCCTTTTCTCCCCCAACAGTATGAAATGCTCTCTTACCTATATTGTGGTGTGAAGAGATCACACAGAGATTCATTTTACTAAGCTCATGATAAGAGTTTAGATTTTATGAAATGAACTAAGTCAGTAGGATGCTTAAAAACTAGTACAAATCCTTCCTGTTGTTAGGTTAATTAATCAAAGTTAGTGCCAACTACATGGTTTGGAAGATCGGGAAGGTTAACCTAGTGAGCCTGACTGAAAGCTACAGATGAACACATGACTCTTCCAGAAAACCTCATCTGTGAACAGATAACACCCGTCCTGTGAATTCCTTTTCTTTCATGATGCTCTCTCTACTCTCTCAGCATTGTGCAGTCCTTCTTCCAGCACAGAGCTTCAGGATTGTTCCTGATGGGCATTCTCTACCCATTTCATTTCAGGGTTACAAAACTCAACGCCAGACATAAAGATGAAGTAAGATCCGTGGCCAGGTGAGAAACCAGTTCCAAACAGAGGCTTGCACTGTGTTTGAAGGAGAAATGATCATGAGATGCGGCACATGGCCTCATAATGTAGAGGAATGTGGAAGTTACCGAAGGAAACCTAAGGGCTACTATAGGTCCATAAGCTCAGCGGCCTAAGAGAGGCCCCAGACAGACATAACCACTCTGATTTTTATCCTATATTCACGAGATGCAATATCCATTTAAATTTTCTTTGGATTCTTCAAGTACTAATTACTTGAATTACTATTTACTAACGTTTAGTTTTGGCTTCTTTTATTAGTGCATATACTGGTAAGGCAGAAATGATGCATTTAGTTACTTCTTGCCGGCTTTTTGTGCTGCCTAAGTGGTGGCATGTCATAAGGTGTGTGGACAGTGTGCACTCAGGGATGAAGCAATTCCTCCTTTAAATGTCATGGCCAGGCACCACTGTAATCAGTTATACTGGCTTTATGTTTTTGATTATCAAAGCTTTAAATGCTATCAATGACAAAAGAGCCTACATATTCTCATATGAAATCTGTGTTCCCAGATACTGTATCTGTAAATTAATTCATGAGTCTAGTCAGGTATTGCTAAATAATTTCCCTTTTGCTTTTGGGTGCTTTTCACATTACCTGTCCCAATTTCATCAGCCTTCTAGAACTGGTAGAATTTTAAAAACAGGGAGGAGGTCTGAATACAAATAAAAAAAAAAAATCCATTTAACCAACAATAATGTTCCCATGCCTGTTCTCTGTCATTTCCTAATTTACAGCTTCATGTTGAGGGGTTATATTCCCACCTTATTTCAAACACTTTCTTTTTGCTTTGCTTTCAATAGGTTTTCATGTACCAACTTTAACTCAGCCATGGGGATCTCATAAGGTTAGCACCCAGCCTCAGCACGTTACCCACTCCGGAAGGGAGATGCTGATGTTTAACATCGCAAGTGCATGAAAATGGACCACAGGCACACACAGGTGATTCCTTAGGCAGAAGACCAAAGTGACGACACTGCTCTGAAGTGAACAGACAGTCATGAGAAGGAGCAGGGCATCTGCGAAGATTTGCTTACCCCTTGTTCAGATTCCAAAAGCTCTGTTTTGACTCTGACTGCCGGCATCCCATCAAGCATTAGCATTCTGTTCTCAAGGGTGTTGAGATTCTGAGAATAGAAAAAAAGAGTAAGATTCAGTTCCAAAGCACCAGAAGAGGACACCGCTGTGTACTCTTCCCTCATTGCCATCCCTTCAGCACTGCTAACCTAATTCTTTAAGAATGGAGCATAATTAAGTGAGAATATCAGCATAACCAATTACCCCCCTCTCTGAACTTTCACTTGAAATAATGACTAGGACATTGACCGAATCAATGTGACTCTCTGACCTCTGGGTTGGAGGTCAGGCTATAATAAACTGCAGTGTGGAAACATTACATTAATTTATACGGGGCTGGAAAATTTATCACACCTTCCCAATAGTGGGAGGAAATACAAAGCAAGGTTCTTTCTCTTGTCCTTAGCTCTACAGGCTGTATTGTGTACAGATCCATAAATGGAAAAGTCAGATAAAAATAATCCTCACACTCTTGAAGCTTGAATAATCTCAAAACAAGGAAATATAATCCTAAATTCTGCGCAGAATCCTAGATTCTGAGCAAATAAAAACTTCTGCATATCCGCCCGCAAGCAACTATTTTAAAAACAACCAATGCAAGTTTAATTTAAAAGTGAATAGCTAAAAGTCATCAATAAAGAACATTTTGTTATAATTCTCATACACATTTGACTCAGTTTATCAACTCTAAAGGAAAGAGGCTCAACGAATCTCAAGTGTCGATCAGAAGATGAAATCAAGTTTGTTATTTCTCCAATTCTCTCTGCCTTAGGCATTTTCTGAATCAGCCATCTAGAAAGGCACTGAGAAAGCCACAGAGGAGGGGCCCAAACGAGGCTCCTAAAAAGATACATTTCACATATGACAGCTTTAACCTGGCATGGTGACAAAATTTAGAAGCTGACATGACTGAACCTGACATTTCAGAGTAGTCACTGGGCTCAATGGCCTTACAGAGGTGACATGACACTGTACCAAGTGGGTATGTACTATTTGTGTGTATATTGAAAGCATTATTCATATTCGTGCATAAATGTGTATTATGCACATATAAATATTTATTTCCCCAGGTGTGTATAACTTGTGTCTTATGAGTGAATTTTATCAAATAACGAAACATGTACCCTAAAATTTGTTAATCGGCAATTATGCCAAATCTGTGTGTGCCTATACGTATAATAGTTCCTAAATATTTGCCTACAGAGCAACAAAGCTTTGCATGATTTCTAGCGTTTGATGTTTTCACTTTTCAGGCATCTGGTTTGCATGAAAACAGTTCAATAAAATCTCCATTCCAACAAATCCCAGTTAGGGATTTTTATTACCCAATTCTACCAACAGGGCGCAGTGAAGGGCTCCCTATGGCTCAGTTCTTGACCATATTTGAATACTCTAAGAGGGACAACTTCGATGGCCTCTCATGGCAAGTATTTTCTCTGAGAAAGCAACAAGGAGAAAAAGGAAAACGTTCTGAATCCCCTTAGTTGTAAGGAACAGTGAAAAATATCACATCCCCTATACACATCGTCTACTGGAGGGGGGTGGGGGGCTGCTAATCCAAAAAATCCAGACAAAAGCAGTTCAGTATTCCCCACTTAACTTAAAATCCTTTCTTCAAGTGGGTGGGGAGGTGCGCACAGAGCACCATTCTCAGAACGAAGCTTATCGCTTGTGGCCTCCAGTTTGGAGTGCTACCCAGCAACTCAGGGGATGCCTTGCTGCAGCTAGCCAGGTCACCCTCCGCCACTCAGCTGGCCTTCTTCCCTCTGCCACTGCTCTGGGTCTGAGAATCTCCCTTCACAAAGCCTCCCAAGCTTGCTTAGCTGGTAGACAGTGAAGGATGAGCTTCCTACCCCAGAGCAGCCTTGCCCAGATGAGAAGGGAAGAAGACACCTTATAAGGGAAGGCTGGGCCAAGCTGTAGAGCAGAGAGGGAGGGCTGCAGGAAAGGAAGGTTTAATGAACTGTTAGAATCTGATTAGCGGCTAATGTCCCTCTTAGTGCTCTGGACCAATTTACAGCTGCTGTCCTCTAACCACTGTCCCCACTAGCTGTGACAAACTCACAAGTGAGTTTTAAAAAATGCAAGCTAGCCAGGGTTTTGAAGTTAAAAACTGGTAAGTCGTGAAAACCTGAGTGGGTCCTTGGTCTACTTAACACATTTAAATCACTATATTTTCACAGGGTTCTTTTTCTTTCTTTCTGTTGTTGGTCTTAAAATTCTACAAACATTCAAGTCAAAATGTACACTTTAGTTTCGCGCGTGTGTGTGTGTGTGTGTTTGTGTGTGTTTAATGAAGTCAAGTTTTCCTTGGGAGTAATTCACTTCTATGCTTTTCCAGGACCATGCCCAGCCATAACCATAACAGGCAACATAAAGAGCAATGTTTGCAGCTGCAGAACACAGCCTCCATAGCTAAGCTCTTTCAGTCAGGGCAGTAATTGATAATTAGTGCAGACAACATTGCTGCCCTCACAAATGAAACATATTAATCTCTACGCCCAGGATCCTAACCCTACTTCACAGACTTACGGAGCTCTGAGAGCCCCAACGTGTTCAACCATCAAGGAGGCGTAGGAGAGGTGATACCTGTCCAGTAATCAGATAGCATTGAAAATGCTGCCCTTCTAAAATACTGGTAGACCCATTTCACTAGGCATGATCAAACACATAGGATGTCAGATGACTGTAGATCGTAAACATATAATAGGTCCTGACCATTTGAAGTTGCTGTCAGACATGTCTTGGTATGATTTCAGTTGAAACATATTTGCTATAAAATCAATAGCTGCACCAATTTCCAAGAGGTAAACAAAATGATATCACCATCACTCTGGGTGCCCTGGTGCTATTTGTACACTTACGTTGTAATCAACATTTCAACATTATACATTCTTCAGTTATCATCGTGATATATATATATATATATATATATATATATATATATATATATATATA